AAACAGAAAAAGGACCATGGGAAGAACTTAGTTTGGATCCAGAGATAATGAGCCCAGTTTGAGACAAATTTAGAGACAAACTAGAGAAATACTATTAATTGGAAAAATATTATAATGCCTGTTTTTTATTTTATATATTAATAGGTAGAAATAGGCTCAACTGAAAATTCATTAAATTTAGTAGATGAAAAACAAATGTAAAATAATAGGCCTCTGAATTACAACATAAAATGGGGCAAAATGTCTTGATAGTGATAAAGGCTACATCGTAAAAAATTAATTCCTTCATGAAGCAAGTCTGTTTCTTTCACTACATGCAGATTACTGAAAAACAAAACGCTGTTAGCTACAAAAACCCTAAAGTAACATCCTTTCAATAGCCTAGAGAGGTAGAATACTCGCTAGGTAACATTGGCCTTATAAAAATAGAAGATTTCGCCCGTGATGTATGGGAACAGCATGGGCATTCTCCTCAATGATAATCAATAGAAATATTTATACTTAGAAAAACTCTACTCAGAAATAACATTCAACAAGCAAATATTTCCTCTGTTTTGCAATTCTAGAGAGGGAAAAACAACCTTTTTATTATTCCCTCTCAAAAGTGGACTGTCATTTTCTGTTCTTCAGAGTACTTACTGACTTAAAATAATCCTTGCTATCCTACGGAAAAGATGTTTAAATGGCCTGTAACCAACTAATTAGAATATGAGCAATACACATGCATATTCATATATACACATATATATGTGTACAAATATACATACTATTTTGCAGTGAATATAAGATTAAAATGACCATTTTTACTTAATCACAAATTGGAAACTTTAAAAAGTTATTCTTTCCCCTTAAAGTCACAAGCTCGAACATTTTAAATGAATGGGAAAAAAGACTTAATAATGAGTTATTTTTATTCATCTAACATTACAAAATTTGTGTATGTGAAAGGTACATATATGTGATGTTGAGACAGACATTGGAAAATTACTGCTTAGGCAAATATCATTGATGTCAAGACAGTAACTAGTTTAGCAGAGTAGAAATTTTTCCTGAGGGGAATTTCCTAAATACTGTCAGCTTCTACCTCTCATCATTAGAATAGCATATAATGATTTCTTAGTTCAGACTCTAGATGACATTGCTTTCTGGGGAGTTAAATTTTCATATTCTTGGAACTCTATAAGTTATGCCTTAAGAATAATTAACTCACCTGAAAAATACTGACCTAAAGTATTGAAGGAAACCGTAAGTAACTATAAATAGGAGTTTATCGGGTTAAAATTCACTGAAAGAAACTGTTCTCTCAGAAAGGACAAGAAAACTCTATGGACACTTTAAATAGAGCCCTGTAACAAAAGGTCTGGGGAAGCAGAGGCTTATTAGATTTATATCTCCTACTGCCCTTGCTGCTCATTTTCATTTTATAAAGTAACATATTTGGGGGCTTCCCTGGTGGCGCAGTGGTTGAGAGTCCGCCTGCCGATGCAGGGGACACGGGTTCGTGCCCCGGTCCGGGAAGATCCCACATGCCGCGTAGCGGCGTCCGGAGCCTGTGCTCCGCAACGGGAGAGGCCACAACAGTGAGAGGCCCGCGTACCGCAAAAAACAAAAACAAACAAACAAACAAACATATTTGGGTCATCTTCAGGTAGGTTGACTAAAGTGATTTATTTTCCAAAATGGGACAATAAGCATAAACTGGGACTGTCCTGTTGAATACTCTATCCATAGGGGAGAGCATGGCTGTGTGCCTCTCCTGCACATTAATATAAATCAGGTAACAATGGAGAAAGGGACAGAGACAGAGAGGATGAATAGTGAATACCCAGGTCAGATTGGAAAGGGAAGAGAAAACATAGGGCACAAGGTCACATGACTGACGATTATGTGAGGAAGGAGAAAGGGCTGCTATATTTACTGACTGGGTGACAAGAATGGATTTACATGGACTGTATCTGAGCCTCAAGATATTTGCTTAATGCCAGTGGATAGCCTCTCCATCACTACCCAGCCACTACGTGTGCATGTGTGTGTGTAAATAATATTTCTATAGATACAGTATACATCTATGTATATATTTTATACAACAAATATGAAATAGTTGTCCAAAACTAATATATCACCAAAATTTGCACTTTCCATACCACATTTAAATAATTTTGAAATCATAAGTAACTGGCCACAAGATTATATATATATATAATATATATGTGTATTTATGTATGTCTTTATATATTGTGTATATGTGTATGTCAATACATGTGTATATTCCTATGAATATACACGTGAATATAACTAATGCTAACTTTCAGATTTGCAAAATCATTTAAGTCAACCTGGGAGAAATCTACTGTGATGTTGTATTCAGATAAGTTTAGCTGTTAAATTCTACTTACAAATACAACTTAGTATGTTATTTTCTTGATATTAAGATATCATCAACTTTAAGAATCACTTTCAATTGCAGGGAAGAAAATACATGTTAAACATCCACACTAATTATAAGTACCATCCCAATTTCAGAAAGATTAAAATGTGAAAAATATGACTTGACATTAAAAAAGTATAACCAAGGGGCTAGGAGTTTTAAAATAAAACATATCCCCAAATAAGGAACTCTATAAAGAAAATATGTGGGATTTTTAAATAAATAATGAGCACTAACTACCTGATATAGTTCAAATTAGGACTTGCACTCTGGATACCAGCAGCCTCTAGATACTAAATCAAGCAGGAAATTGTGTACACAGACACACACACACACACACACAGAATAAATGTATCATGGTTTATTCTTTTTCATAAATCATCACCGTAAAAATTATGAATTATTCACAGTAAATTCCAAGTAAGCCAGGAATGATATAGCATATATAAACCATAAGTTTCCATGACAAATAAGAACAAGTATATAAAATCCTACAGATATATGACCCATAACACATTACAGAACATTGATTTCCCAGAGGCTAATGTTAAACTCACGCACCCAGTAACAGTTCTATTTTCATTCTCTCCTATAACTCAAATCTATTCATGCTGCACAATTACTTTTGCATAATAATATATTGTATTTTAGTTATCTGAGCTATTTCATCTGTAACAATAGTTCCTCCTTATTTTAAATGAGCATCTTTGGAAGCATCATATTATTTTCTTTATGATCTTCCAATCACCTTGACCATTTTTTAAAGCGTATGATGTCTTTCATTCACACATCAGGTAGCGTGCTTCAAATTTTTAAAAATTCACATAAATAGGAAGAGTTCTCAGGAATGTAATTTGATGAAGGGGATTACATTTCTGTCTCCAAGGACTAAGCCCTACATGTTTGATACATTGAAATGTTCACATTAAAAAGACATTATAATCTCAAAAGAAGTGAATACGAGCGAAAACAGGGAAATAACAGCTCAACTAATTTTTACTAAAGGAAAACTAAATAAGGGTAGAAAGATAGGGATGGAAAGAGGCAAAAAGGATTCTTATGTATGGAGAAAAGGACTAAGAAAGTAAAGAAGGAGTTAATAAAATCTAGGGCTTTGGGCTCCAATCTTAGCTGAGATCAGAGGAATTTAGTCTGAGGTGACCAAAGAGAAATATATTTTATCTACCACCAAATAAGAATGGTGGAAGTTTTTATCCAAGGTAATTCAACAACATGAATTACTAATTAGGATATTAAACAGAGATCAAGGCTGAAGTTTCCTCAAAACTGCCTACTTTTTAGAACAATTTTTTAAATCTTATTGAAAGAAATGGGAATAATCTCTAGACTTTGACATCTGATTACATTTCAAACTACCTTTTGTGTGTAACACTTAATGTTTCCCTTCTGTTCACAATGGTCACTCTTGCTTTTTCCATTTTTAGAACTTGCTTCCTTTCATTAAGCTGCAATTAGCAAGAGTCCCTTCCACACATATATTGCTGATTCCTTCAAACTAGCCTCTTCCTTGGTTGCTTTTAGACTTTCATAGAAGCCAGAGTTTCTTCCTGGGAGTTCTCTAAACCTTAGAGTTTAGATATATGGATCAAGCTACAGACATTAATGTTTCAAAGAATGCTCATGGCAAAATAAACATTAAGAAGGTATTGACAGGGGATACACAGCCACAATCTTTACTGACAGTGGCCAAGCTGTGACAAAGCCACAGGTGTACAGGACTATTTCGGCAATCATAGCACAGTCAGGCACCATCATTGCTACTGTCCAAAAGAGCATCTATGGGAGTGAAGAAAAGGTGCTTTTTAAAAAAGACCATCATGAAGATAACCCTACTCTTTATTTCATAGCATGTTACAATGTTATAGCTTTTCTGAAGTAATATTAAGTTATAGTATCCAGATCATATAGGTAAAAACACTTTAAAATGTGGAAAAAAAAAAAAAAGAAGAAGAAGAATTTATTGGGTAAGAAGAGCCAGAATGACTTGCCTAGACAATTCTCTTCTGCAGTGGTTCTCAAAGTGTGGTGTGTGGATTAACAGCACCAGTATCATATGGGAACTATAAGAAATACAAATTACAGGTCCCACCTCAGACCTACTAAATTAAGAATAAACCAGGGAAGTGGATGTTGGAGCTGAAGAAGGGGGAGGTGATTTTTATGCATGATAAAGTTTGAGAACCACTGTTCAATTGTATTCCAATACCATAAGTAACCAAATAATATTTTTCTTAGTTCTAAAACTACAAATTTACCTCACTGAGGAAAAGCATTCTTCTGACTTTTCTAACAAAACTTTTAGCATTTTCAGAATCGCTTAGGTTCCTATTTATCTGAAGGTTCTAGTTAAGAATTGAGCAGCTCCATCTCAGGCTTTAGAACTGTTGCATTCTGCGTGCTAGTATGAGAATGAAGGACATTGGTGAGATAGCGGGGGACTCTTGAGCCACAGATGTACGCATGGTAGTCAGGTCAGCACTTCACATTCCCCAAATCTTGCCCCCAAAGTTGTCTTTTTATAACTGACTTTTCTCGTGTCATTTTTCCCCAGATACCTTTATCAATGAATGTGTCAACTTTTCTGGCATACGACCAGCCCACAATAAGTTACTGTGGGGTGCATCATGAACTTCTCTCTCATAAATCCTTTGAAACGAATGCACAGGAAGATACGATGGAAACACACCTAGAGACTGAGCTGGACCTGAGCACAATCACAACAGCTGGCCGAATCAGTGACCATAAACAGCAGCTGGCTTAACTGAGCTAATTGGTAACCATGGGTTGCCATCAAACTTTGTAACCTCAAGGACAAAATGAGGAGGATTTGTTCATTGTGGACTCTAAAAACAAAAGAAAACAATCCCCTGTGAAAATAAACAAAAATCCAAGATTGATTCATGAAATAAAGAAGACATGAATTGTTTCAACTCTACACTTTATAATTAGCTAAGTTGTGCAGTATTTTTTTGACTTAGAGTATGACCCTGAAAAAAAAATCTTTTTTCTCAAAACTCATCCTACCTACCTGTAAAAACTGTACAGAGCTAATGTATTTTTCATATTGTAAAGTTTCAATTATAGAAACAACTTGTATGTACAGTACCATAATTTAATTACATTTTACTTTACACACTTTATGTATTTCAGTTTCTAAAATTTTAAATTAACAAAAATTATTTCTTGTGTTATTCAGAGTTACCCAGTTTTGTAGGGACTGTTTTGTTACTGCTTTTGTGCCCAGAAACCTTGACTCTCAAATTATGTGCTGTGCAAAACATGCACGATTTTTATCATGCTTACTGTGTAGAATTTTATCTACTTGGTCCAGAAATAATACATTAACCAAAAAGGGTTTGTTGAGACTTATAAGAAGTTCTTCAATTACATAGACAGGTCTTTCTTATACATGAAAAAAATCAAAGATTTTTTAACACTTCTCAGACTTAACTGTTGCCTTGAATTACAGCCTAGTTTCTAAGCAGTGAAATGTAATGATAAAGAGGGATATTTTAACAACGTATTTCTGAATGAATGACTCATTATTTCATTCTTTTGAGTAACCCATTGTTAAGGGTGGGGGGAAGCATGGACAAAACATCACTGGAAACAAAGGCCGTAACCACAGCAACAGAGTTTGATATACTTAAAAGGTGCAGCTGCCAGTGACAAAGAAAAACTCTGTTACGTCTCATTACTTCAGGCCAAGGTGGGAGAATAAAGCATAATAATTGTACAGTAGTAATTTCTCTTAATTAACCCAACGTGGTTTACCTAAAAATAACCATCAGTGCAAAATGTGCCTGGTTTTAAGACAATTTCCCATTTAGAATGGTGAGGCTATATTTTAGCAACATCTCAAAGGAAATATATGAAAATTTTCACTTTGTGTGCTACATCAGTTTTGTCCTGGGAGAGAACTCTAAAACATCTACAGCTGATTCAATACAGATATGAGCCATGGTGGAACTTTTATCATGCAAGTAGACTGTAAACATCCTTAATATGTTCTAAATTGTTTATATTGCTATCCATAATGAGATTCACCTCCAAATTATCTGAAAAATAATCCAGAGTAATTTGAAACCACCCCAGATCATACATGGATTATCCAATTGTATTATAAAGTTAATTCAATCAAATTATGAAAACCCGACTTTTCAGAGGCTGAAATAATCAACTTGTTTGTTGTTTGCTTGACACAGGTTACTGTTTGAAAATATTGTTATTTTATCTATGGTATTCACACATTCTTTTGTGTTTTTTTTAAAATATAAAACTGCAAGTTTCAATTGCTGTTACACTAGAAGTGCTTTTTTTATGTTGTCATTTTTAATTCATGACATCAAAAATAGGTTGAGAGTATGTCAATCTAATAGGGATCAAACACCATCAAAAACAATGAAGAAAAGAATTTGTGAAAACCAATGTCAAACTTTCAATTTTTTATTTCTTCCAAAGAAATTCAAAAGTGTAGTTTTATGCAGGTTTATCATGGCAAATTTAAGAACAGGTTCAAAGAGAATGGATTAAAAAAATCAAGAGCAAATTTTTGTTGAAAATATACTGTCAGAAGGGGAAAAAACAAAATGTTGGAAGAGCAAACTCTTACTAATTTAAATGAAACTAAATGTCACAGTACTTGTATCAACTATCTAGCATTCCAGATTTTGTAACATATTTTGCATAAATTATTTGCTATTCAGAAAATTGTCATTTTTAGTTTAATTTTAATCTCTTTTTTCCAATTTCTAATTTCCTTGCACTGTATTATTGTCAGAGTATTCTTAATCCTCTACACTGATATTTTGCTTTGCAGTTAGCAAATCTATAGAGGGTTAATTATAAATCTATTATGTGTGGATCTGAAATCTGATGCAAAATTTTATTTATTATGTAAACCAAAATGTCATTTGCAATTTTTTCTCATAGAAGTTGTCCTTGCAAAGATTCAAATATCTTTTAATTTGTGTAAATAAGCATTTTATATCTTCTCTTTCCAGACATTTTCAAACGGACAAATGATTTTTAGAAATTTTAAAGGTTCCAGGGAGCCTCACAAATATATGCCCTTTATTTCCTGAAGCAAACTGCTTTCTTTCTTAAACATGTTAAGTTCATCTGAAGTGAACAACTATAAATAGAAGCAGTCACCTTGGAACCAGGTGCATGGGAGGTCTTAGCTCTGTGCATCGGAAGACTTATTACGTACATTAAGAGCCAAATAAACTAAGAAGTTTGGTATTTGTCATATTTGAAATTAAACCCAAAGGATCTTTAACAGGAAAAAGAAAAAAAAAGATGCTAAGTTACTTGTTTGCTTAATTTTTATTCTGCCATGTCCCGGGGTGTGGGGGCTTTGGGGAAATGAAAACCTGCTAGAGGAGACTGTGTCTGGAATCTTTAGCATACATTTGCAATTTATATATTTGTGTCTAAAATCCCTATTTCTAACCTGTCTTTTTCAGAATTCAGTAATCTCCCATTTCCTCTTTCTAACCACCCCATGTCTTCCTTCCTGTGTACTTCTCACCTCTTTAAACAACTGAAATGTTTCTATGTTTGGAGTTGAAAAATGCAGTTCAGCCCAACATGGTTACAATAACAGCGGTAGCTACAGCAAACACATTTATGCGGTGTTTTGAAGCTTACAAACCACATTCCACATAAATTATCTCATTTTGCCTTCATAACCAATCTATGAAGATACATTAATACCAAAGAAGTTGAGACTTGCCCAAGAACACAGGGTTAATAATTGGTGGAGTTGAACTACTCTCAAAATTCAGACCCTATTAGTCTTTCCACTATACTAAAAGCCTTCCCTCTCTGATCAGGGCCAGAGAATTTCCAGATAGTAAATAGAATGAAAAAAAGTTTGACATGTTGTTTAGTAATCCCCAATTTAACTCAGTTCCTCTATCTGTATAATATATGGGCTAAATGGACTCTTTCTGTGTGCTACTCTGGGCTCTCACATTAAAACTCTTTTTTTTTTTTTTTTTTTTTTTGCTGTACGCGGGCCTCTCACTGTCGTGGCCTCTCCCGTTGCAGAGCACAGGCTTCAGATGCGCAGGCTCAGCGGCCATGGCTCACGGGCCTAGCCGCTCCGCGGCATGTGGGATCTTCCCGGACCGGGGCACGAACCCATGTCCCCTGCATCGGCAGGCGGACTCTCAACCACTGCGCCACCAGGGAAGCCCATATTAAAACTCTTTATTCAGAAAGTATAACAAGTCATAAATTTCTTAACAAATCACATCATTTGTAAATGTGTAGAACTGTTGCTTCCAAGAAGTGGATGTATATAGGCCCCAAGGTCCAGAATAAAATTGAGAAGCACAAAAAAAACCCCAAAAACACACAAAAAAACAAAGATCACCAAAATCGAGATTATGCATAGAGTTATAAAACAGATTCACAGTGTGAGGCTGAACATATGTTTAACACATGTTCAACTGAACACACATTCAATTCAGAGCTAATTGGAAAAACCTTTGTAATTTTATTTTTTTCCTTTTTTGTTTCAGCAAAAGTACTTATTGAACCATGAATTCTTACATCTATCTTAATAGAGAATAATTTTCTCTATTCTCCTTCCAATAAAAATGAAATGTAAGTCATCCAAACTCATGTACAGATGCGAAAACATATGCTAATAAGCAAATAATATTTTTGATCAGCTCATTTTATCAAGTCTCTATCCCTACTCCCAAAACCACAAAATCAGACAGATTTTAATATAAATTATATTTTTAGAAGGAAAGAGAACTTGCCCAAATTTAACGTCCAAGACAAATGACATAATCCTGACTTGAAATCAGATCAGTATGACTCCACAAACTGCTTAGAAATAGAATCTTTTTTTCAAAAACATTTTCTGAAATAAAACCACTGTATATGAGATTAAGAATATATGTTTTTCTCTGCTCCTGACTGGAAGACAGTTATCATCTCTCAAACTCAACATTAAAAATGAGTAAAGGGCTTCCCTGGTGGCACAGTGGTTGAGAGTCCGCCTGCCGATGCAGGGGACACGGGTTCGTGCCCCGGTCCGGGAAGATCCCACATGCTGTGGAGCAGCTGGGCCCGTGAGCCATGGCCACTGAGCCTGCGCGTCCAGAGCCTGTGCTCTGCAAGGGGAGAGGCCACAGCAGTGAGAGGCCCACGTACCGCAAAAAAAAAAAAAAAAAAAAAAAGAAGTAAAGAAACTGCAAGCATGAAAACAGGTACGTGATGTGAATGATTAGTAAGCTGGAAGAAAGAAAATCAGATGTAGATTTTCTGCTGGGTAGATGGTAGCCAATGAAGGAAAAAGTAACGGAACCAGCAGATATTCAGCCTCAGGAAAAAGGATAAGAAATCTCTAGAGTAGAGATAATAACATCTTACAGTGGCATAGCTCTTAACAGTTTATCAGTCAGGGTAATGGTATAACCACCTCGTAACACATAAAAAGTCCCGAGGTCCAGATGGGTTGATTATACAGTAAGAAATCCAGATATGTTAGTCTTGCAGTAAGTAAGAGCCTCCAACTACTTTTATTACCTTCTCAACTCACCACAGCTGTCCCTAACTAGAGAGGTACTAAAGGCAGAGGATCCAGGGTCAAGGTTTTCAAAACTCTGACATACCCACAAGGGTGGAGTAGACTGACAATCAGCAATTGTGCTTCATTTTAGTATCAACTGTAATGGGGAAGAAATAGTTGAAAATTTAAAAAATATATACCAAACGGTGATGGGTTATTTGTAAAGATCTCTCATGGCTTACATAATGATTTTATTATGAGATAAGAGGCTTATATGTAACATCTTTAAGTTAGGGTAAAATTGGTGTTCAAAAAAGTCCACAGTTGATTATTTACCTTTCTATTAAAGACAGTGACCTTAAAGCAAAAGAGTGCCTCAGCCACCTAGGACTTAGAGAACTCTCGAATTTCTTCCTCCTTTCTCCCATCTATTTATAGATTTTCTTTTATATGATATATATCTTCCCAAAAAATTAAGTGAAATTTTATTTTGTATAAATCAAATAATATTTCAAATACATTAAGGGACTATATGATAAAGGATCCTTGAAGTAAATCCTTCTTGTTTTCTCATCTGAAACACCACTCACTAGTTTATCTTTTGTAAACTGATTTACACATATCTTGTGTTGCATAACGCAGCACACGGCCTTAAAGGTTCTATGGTGCAGTCTTTACCTCAGACTGTATAAAAGAAAGGACTCTCTAGTTCTGAGCAGGTCTATAGACACTAGAGTGATCATTTTCAGTCAGTTTCAGTTAGGGAAGTTATTTATCTGGACTAATACGAAAAATACTATTAAAATAATACGAATGGATAAAGTTGACAAGCTATATTTTTTCTAGTTATTGGTTTAAACTATTGTCACCTATCATAGCGTCAAAGCTACTATTAAGAAATCAAAATGAACCCAAATCCCTTGGATCCATACTAGAGTTACTGAGTCAGAATCTCTGGAGCTAATCTCTAAGGCATGCTAAATTTTGCAAAATATTATTCAGATGAATTTACTTTTGCCAAGCCATTCAATTGTTTTTTATTCTAGTCTAAAATTCTTCTCGTGCTTTCCTATTCCAATGTGAATCTAGTTTGCTAAGCCTGAATGAACATTTTTCTTGATTAGGAGAATGTGCAACAAAGGACAACTACACATAAAATGGTCAGGTTTTTCCTGATAAACTGTTATTTATAGATTTTGCTCCCCGCTAGCTCTTTCAACAGAAATCTCTGAAAACTATCTTAAATCAGCTGGGTTATTCACTTATTACTTGCTTTCATGGATAATAATATAACTGTTGAAAAGCTGGAGGTGGGGAGAGAAGAAGGACTAATTTATGATGTAATAGGCATTGTGTTGTCCTCATTTCATTCTCAAACCATCTTAGGAAACAGGTATAACCACCATTTTAAAAAAAGGAAAATAAGAATCATGGTAGCTGAATAATTTGCCAAGGCTTATATAGTAGAGCTGGGGATTCAAATCCAGTGCTCCTGACTCTAAGGATGTGCTCCTACCACCCAATAGCACATTTTCAAATGTTAACAAAGACCACAATCAATATAATTAGGGCTCATATATTTTAATAAGGGGTGTGGAGATAGGAGGAAAAGAATGTACTTTCCTATTCCTAAACAGAAAAATTACATAAGCTATTTCACATTGTGTAGAGATTTCCTTCAATATCCCAAGTCCACAACTTAATGGAAAGAAATATCTATTATTTTCTTGAAGTTTTATACATTGTTTCCTAAAAAGCATGAACATTTGAAAGAAAAAATCCTTCAAATAATAAATACTCCCAGGGCTTCCCTGGTGGCGCAGTGGTTGAGAGTCCGCCTGCCGATGCAGGGGACACGGGTTCGTGCCCCAGTCCGGGAAGATCCCACATGCTGTGGAGCAGCTGGGCCCGTGAGCCATGGCTGCTGAGCCTGCGCACCCGGAGCCTGTGCTCCGTGACGGGAGAGGCCCGCATACCGCAAAAATAAATAAATACTCCCAAATACTCATGTTTTATTTTCATTTCCAATTTTTCTAGCATATTATAAACTTATGACAAAAACATGATAAGTAGATATCCATAATATAAACTTCAACTGGCCAAAGATGGAGGGAAGGTTGTCAATTGAAGCAAAAACTATATAGACAGTCAATAAAGTAACGAGTGCAATGACA